TTAAGCCAATTTTCAAGAAGTGGAAGGGCAGGACACACTTTATCTTATGGAACTGAGGAGAGAGAGAGAGAGAACACACAGCAGTATTATATTATGAAAGGTGCTTTTAAAGTCACAGAGATGCCTTCATTATAGAGTCAGCTGTTAGTGAAAACCAGAGCAATGTTTGAAGATGACACAGATTCTAAATAAGATTAATGCTAGCACACATTGGAAGAACTGTTATGCAAGTTAGAGTTTAAAAAAACACACATACAAATGATCTTGTGCCACATCTTTTACACAGGTGAGAGCAGGTGACGTAAATGAACGCCAGCGTTCGGTGGGCTCGTGCTTTTGGGGGATTTTTTTATTTCCCATGATAACTAAGCTTCTACGTTGTATAATGCATGCACAGCCATAGAGGCTCAGTGCTTTGAAAACAGTTAGAAGGCCATGGTTCCTTGCACTGAAAGTGGGCAGTGTAAATGCTGTGAAGGCCAGGCAGGTAACAGTGGCTTACATGCAAAGAGGACTGAAAGAGACCCCAATGAAGTCAGCAGAGGATGGTCTACCGGAAGAAGGGGCTCTGAAAAAGGAAAGTGCATAGTTATATAGATTCTAGGGCAGTGAGGGTCACCCTAGGCTAGTGAGGGGGCTGCATGAGCGGCCCTCCTTCATCTCAGTGGGCTGCAAGATTGTCGTAACTAGAATAGTCTCCCGGGATAGGGTAGTTTTGCTCACTGTGCTTGTATACCTAGAATTTGTGGGGTGGGCTGCTTGAATAGCGCTGTGATTGGATGCAAAGAGGAGCACAAGGCTTTCACTGTATTGTGAGCAAGCAGCACGTAAGTCCCTTCACATGCTCTTGCTTTTACGTGTGTGTCACTTTTCCAGTAGGAAAAGTACGTGGGCAAAAACCAACAAAATCTGGCAACCCTGGACACGGGCAATGGAAAACAAAAAGTCTCATGGGCCACGGGTTGCAAGTTGCCCACCATTATTCTAGGGCCAGAAAGGACAACTGTGATCCTCCACTCTGCCTGCCTGCATAGTACATGCCAGAGAACTACCCAAAAACAAGCGACAGATCTTACAGAAAACATCCAGTCTTTGCTTTAAAAATTGCCAGACATGGAGAATCCATCAGGACTCTTGGTAGATTGTTCCAATGGTTAATTGTCCTCACTGTAAAAAAATTTGCTCCTTCTTTCCAGTCTGAATTAGGAATGTTAAATCCCGTTTAAATGTTAACCACGTTGGTGGTGCAGCTGCCTCCAGTGGTCACTCTGCAGTATAGCTGTCTCTCTGATCAGCCACCTCCCTCTCCATATTATGGAAAACAATTGAATTCCAGGCAGATTCCGTTTTCCTGGCACAACCAAACCCTGGCCTTGTTTTAAGTTAGGAGACAAGGAAGCTGCCTCCCAAATCTGGTAGTCCTAGCTCTGACTGTTTAGGACAAGCCTGGACAAAATAGGTGACTCCCACCAAGCCGCCACTCCTGCTCTTGCTGCCCCCAGTGGTCACTCTGCAGTATAGCTGTCTCTCTGATCAGCCACCTCCCTCTCCATATTATGGAAAACAATTGAATTCCAGGCAGATTCCGTTTTCCTGGCACAACCAAACCCTGGCCTTGTTTTAAGTTAGGAGACAAGGAAGCTGCCTCCCAAATCTGGTAGTCCTAGCTCTGACTGTTTAGGACAAGCCTGGACAAAATAGGTGACTCCCACCAAGCCGCCAGATCTGGCCTGCGGACGCAACAAGGAGCATGAGGCAGACTCCCTGGCCCCTTCTGTACACTGCTCAGAAAAGCTGCTGCCAGGCTGTTTGTGTTTCACAGCTGGGTCAGGAGGAGAGGCTTCATAAACTGTCCCTGCCCATAGCACAATCCCATTGGCTGGCTTTTGGCCAATGGGAGTTGACTGTTTGAAGAACAGGCAGCACGCAAAGCACCACTCCCCCTTCCCTCCAGCTCTTGTTCACAAATGCAGCTGACCCCTGCAGCCTGTGCAGCGCCAGGGCAGGTAGAGAGCCTGCCTGAGAAACATGCTGGTCTGCTGGCTGGGAGTCACCTAGGTAAGACTCTTAGAGCCTGCCTCTGGCACCCCAAACCCTCTGCCCCTCCACTCCTGTCCCCTTGTGCCACATAACCCAAACTCTCTGCCCCCTCCTGCACCCATATCCCCTCTGAGATCCTGCACCCCAATTCCCTGCCCTAGGTTGCAAGCCAAACCCCTGCACTCCTGTCCCAGATCACAGTCCCCTCCTGCCTTAAGTCACAACCCAAATCCCTGTGCCCCCTTCTGCACTTTAGTCTGTGCCCCAGGTCACAACTGCCTTCTTCACCCAAATTCCCTCCCAGACTCCACACACTCTCCTACACCCCAGTCTCTTACCCCAAGCTCCCTTCTGCGCTTAACCTCCATCCCAGACCCCGTGCCTCTTCCATTAATATCCTGGAAGGGTGTGGCCCTTGACCATTTTCCAGAATCTTGGAGTGCCCCCTCCTCCAAAAAACATTATTGCCCACCCCTGGTTTAGGAGGAGTTCTTGAACAGATGGGCTACATCTAGACTGGCAAGTTTTTCCGCAAAAGCAGCTGCTTTTGCGGAAAAACTTGCCAGCTGTCTACACTGGCCGCTTGAATTTCCGCAAGAACACTGACGATCTCATGTAAGATTGTCAGTGTTCTTGCGAAAATACTATGCTGCTCCCGTTCGGGCAAAAGCCCTCTTGCGCAAATGCTTTTGCGCAAGAGGACCAGTGTAGACAACACGGTATTGTTTTGTGCAAAAAGCCCCGATCGCAAAAATGGTGATCGGGGCTTTCTTGCGTTAAACCGCGTTTAGATTGGCAGGGACGCTTTCCCGCAAAAAGTGCTTTTGCAGAAAAGCGCCCCTGCCAATCTAGACGCTCTTTTCCGCAAATGCTTTTAACGGAAAAACTTCTCCATTAAAAGCATTTGCAGAAAATCATGCCAGTCTAGACGTAGCCATGGAGTCTTAGAGAGACACACATCTAAATTTTATCTCTCTCTCTAATATATATATATATATAAAATAAAGAGAGAGAGAGAGACACACGCACAAGCAGTAGCAGTTAGAAAGCGCACACACAAATGTTTGAACATTCACAAATAGGACTGAATGGAGCCTCCTTTGAACAGTCATTTGCCCTTGTACTTCAACCCTGTTTTACAGATGAAGAAACTGATTTTTCATTAAGTGTCACACTAATACAGCAGATAATTCAGCCTTGCAAGCTATGCCAACTCATTCACCTTGGGCAAATCATTTTAACATTTTATTTTTAATTCTTAGGTAGGGCTGGGCAGGTAAATCTTGTGCCTGAGATGATGTATATTCATGCTGGTTTTGCACGACTGGATAAATTAATATTTGCATTGTGTTTTTGCAACAGGGCTGTTTAGAAACTATAGTAACTTACAATAGTGTATGTGCATTTGTCTCCAAGGATTTCAAAGCCTTTTCCAAAATTAATGTATAAACTCTGATTAGTAGCACTACAGAATGAGCAACTGTGTACATACATTAATCTATTTTACCTGATTATTAGGTATTTTGTACGTTTTTCCTATCTAGATTTACCTCGCTGCTGTAATGCTTACTGTAAAATAATCAGGGTCCCATGCAATGAATCATGAAGCTGAAACCATGGGAAAGATCGTATGTTAAACTCATTATTGCAAGCAGCTGCTTATACAATGTAATTTGGTCGCTGTGTGGGGATTTGGTTTTGGTCACATGTTTGAGTCTTGGTACATTGACAGCTGAGCTGACTGCCACCTTCCCATCCCATCCCTGTGCAAATCATCCCTCGCCTGCTCAAAGATGATTTGACACTTCCATAAGCCCCCCTAATGATCAGAGAGAATCCGTGAAGGTTTAGACAGAGGGGTACAGCCTACAACCTGCCAACCTGTCTTTGAGCCAATCTGCCTGACGTGTATGCTGACCCGTGTGAAAGTTGTAAAATCCATTTTATGGCACTGTACTTTTTTTCCTATAGCTCTGCCATATGTTAGTGGAAATCTTGCATTCTTCTCGCCTGTGCAGGCTTTCAGTAACTGCAGCATAGGAAACCACACCTAAAATAAAAGGGAAATGCTACATTCAAGTAGGAATGCTGCTGGCTTTGCTTAAGCCAAGACAAGGATCTGTTCAGAGTTGATTTGAACAGGTTTGGATAGCAATCAATTATCTGCATGTCTGAAGTTTTCAGAGGGGAATTTTCACTGGATGCGGACTTGGTCTCAGCAGTTGTTTAAAAAAAATCCTCTTAATTTAAGGCCCTTTAGCTCTTTAACATTCCTTTCTTGGTTGTTGAGGTTTCAGGTATGGATAGGCACTGAGCACAATACACCTTGTAATTATACACCTGTGATAACTCGGTGGCATTTTTTTAAAGCATTTGCATGGGTTAATTGGAAGGGAAATAACTAGGTAAGATGATCACATGAGGAGAGAAAAGGTCTGTCTACAGTTTGCCTGCTCCACAGTAATGCTGGACTGGTCTCGGGAAGGCTAAATTCGGACCTTAGCTTGTGGAGGAAAAACTTGTGGGAGGATGAACTACCCAGCAACGTATTGGTTTGAGCATTGGCCTGCTAAATGCAGGGTTGTGAGTTCAATTCTTGAAGGGGCCATTTAGGGATCTGGGGTAAATCGGTCAGGGATGGTACTTGGTCCTCCCGTGAGGGCAGGGGACTGGACTCGACCTCTCAAGGTCCTTTCTAGCTCTATGAGATAGGATATGTATTTCTCTTTCTTTCCTCTCTTCTGCCACACGGAGCAACCCATTATTGTTGGTACTGCTGGACACCTTACCAGAGGGCAAGAGAGAGATACTGGCTGGGAAAGGGGATGATCATCTTCATTTCTCTCCTTCAAATAGGTTCAAGCTGTCATTCCTCGCTTTCAAAAATGAACACAGTTTTGATTCTTGGCCTCTTCGAACCTCATCTAAAAGCCTTGTGTTTTATTTCTCTCTCCTCACAGCCCATCCATGAGCTCAGATTTCCAGCATTACAGTTTCAGGATGCCGAATATTGGGTTCCAGAACCTGCCTCTCAATATATACATTGTGGTTTTCGGCACTGCCATATTCGTCTTCATTCTTAGTTTACTCTTCTGTTGCTACTTGATCAGGTAAAGAACTACCATTAACTATTTTCTGAAGCCAGCTGAAATCTGTTTGGTCCCAGTCCTGTGATGTGCCAAAACGTTTTCTGTGCACCATTCAGGCCCAGAGAGTACTAGCAAGCATCTCCCTGAAAGCACTTGGACCCTTTTCAGAAAAAAGAAAACTGTTTTTTCCCCTCCACAGATATGGTAAAATTTTCCATAGGTGCAGAAAGATATGTTAGATTTAATGCATCCATTGTTGATTTACTTTGCAGGTATTCCTTTAGGGCTGCCTTCCCGTCTGGTACTGCAAGCAGTGTTGTCTGTCATGGGATATCAGCCATGAAATTATTTTAATCCTCCATTTTTGTAGTAGAATCATTTGCTCAGTGGCCTAGTATTAAACCCACACATTCATGTCAATTCAATCCATACAGAGCACATGTAATAAGTACCTAATTTGATCCAGGCACATTTCTAGACTTGACTGTAAAGGAAAGCAATTACATCATGCGGCTTTTAAAGTGGATTATTTGTTATTTAAATGTGCATGAAAAGTATGATTTCTTGGTGTCAGTGTTTTCTGCTTGCTGCTTACAATATTTCGAGGCATCTCTCTTTAATGAATAACTCATGTACTGCGTGCTTAAGCAATGTTTGATATCTGCCCCATTTGCTTTTGTACACAAATTGCACATTCAACAGCACAGTTTAGAGATTAATGATGCAGAGTTGACTTGTTAATCTGAACAACAATGAGTACAGTCCGTAAAGATCATTCTGGTAGTGGGAAGTTTGAATATTAACTGTGGGACAAAACTGTTTCTCCAAGATTAAACTGGAAACGTAACCAAATAAATAAATAAATCTACAAGAGAGAAGAGAGGGGAAAAATATAAATGATTCAAGGCTGTGTCTGCTTCTCCTCAGGGCTCAGAACAAAGGATCTCTTTGTGCCGATTTCAGTTTATTGGCAGTAGTTGCACCTCACCCCACACACACCCTGGGTACCTTACAGAACTGCTGCTGAAAACCTGCAAATTGCTCGGCTATTCTGCCTGTTATCTTTCTCTATTTTTGTCTCGTGAATGTCTCTTTCATTTATGAGCACGCTCCTTTCTCTTTGGCTTTTTGGACAGAGCCTTTGTCTCCTCTTCAACATCCCAGGTGCCACTGTATGCCATCTCCCAAGCTGATACTGAAAATGGCTGTTTCACAAGTGCACACAAAATCACCAGGGTCGAATGCCCATTGCTGGATGCCTTGTTCCAACAGGCATGCAGCGCTTGCTGCTGCTCTGAACACTGGACCCATTGACCCTGTTTACATTGGCAGCATCGCTGTTAGGTTGGGGGCACGGGGGCTGCAGTGTTTAACACCTAAAAGTTGAGCACAGCAGTTTTAGTAGCAGTTTCATGGGTCGTAAAACCAGAGTTCAAGCACTCAGTCATGTCTGCTTTGCTGCAGACAATAGCTTTGAAGCTGCAAATATACAAAGCCTGATAAAATTTTCAGATGACTCGAAGGTGGCCAAAGTGATAAGTAGTAACAAGGACGGGCAGTCGTACAATCAACACAGCACCCAAAACACGAAATAAGATACACAATTTGTGCTATGCAAAGGTGCGTCAACACAGCACCCAAAACACAAAATAAGATACACAATTTGTGCTATGCAAATTGCGTAGCTTATTTCGAGTCTATTTCTAAATAGCTTATTTTGTCATTTGACGCACTCTACACAGCGCTAAACTTCAAAATACAGTGCTATTTCAAGCCATTCCTTACTCCTCGTAGGTTGAGGTTTACAGGGATGGCGAAATAGCGCATCCGCTATATTTTGAAATAGTGGACATGTTCAAAAGACACAAGGTAGCTATTTCAGGATACCTCTGGTATCCCAAAATAACTTAGACATAGCCACAGAGTAATCCTGACTGGCCCATCTTACCAAGCACACAAATTTTAACAAATCCAAATGCAAAGCTGTATCTCCAGGAACAAGGAATGTTGGCCACACCAATAGATCAGGGAATTTTGTCCTGGAAAGCAGTGACTCAGAAAAGGATTCAGGGGTCGAGGTGGAAGAGTAACTCAACATGAGTTCCCGGTGCTGTACTGTAGCAAGAAAGACTAATGCAGCCCTTAGCGGTGTTATACCAGGGAACAGGAAGGTGACTTTTGTGTACGGCACTGGTAAGACTGTAATATTAAATCCAATTTTGGTGTTTGCACTTTTAAAAAAAAATAGAAAAATTGAGAGGGTGCAGAAAACATCCACAAAAATTATTTGAGCTGGAGAACATGCCTTAGAGTGAGACACTTAGAGTTCCATCTGTTTAACTTGTCCAAAAGACAACTGAGACGTGGCTGGGTTACAGCTTATAAGTACCTTCACAGGGAGGAAATGAGGTACTAAATCTGGCAGAGAAAGACATTACAAGAACCAGTATCTGTCAACTGAAGCTAGACAGAAGTTGTGCCTAACTTCGCATTTGAGTTTAACAGAGAGGGTGATGAACCACCGGAACAAATTATTAATGCAAGTGGTGGATTCTCAGACTCTAGAGTTTTCAAATCAAGGCAGGATGCCTTTCTGGAAGAAATGCTCCACTCAGACCCAAGTTACCGGACTCAGTATAAAAGCAACTGAATTAAATTGTCAAATTAGATGATTTGCTGGCCTCTTCTAGCCTCCCTCTCTCATCTAGCCATAATCAGCAGTTCCACTTGTTGTTTGCAGGAAAAGCATGAACCCAAGAAACTTTTTTCATGGGAGCAACTGTTAATCCAGGCCTCATATGAGTTTGGTTTGCAGCCATGTAAATTGCCACACAATTTTCCTCCTGATTTGCTGCATAATTGTGCTTCAGTGCTTGAATTTTTGAAGTTAAATGAGCTCTCCAGCTGTAATGTTTGTAAAGAGAGCCTTCAGACCACGAGGTGAGCATAGAGACCTGCATCTGCAGAGAGTATGAGACTGTAGCGCCAGGTAGAAGTGGGCATGGTCTCTTCGTCCCAAAAGCGTTTTGACTCTAAGGTGTAATTCTTTACATGTCAGCATAAGTTAGTGTTCCTCTGCCGACCAGTTCAGTAGAAATAGGCAGATGTGCTTATGTGTCCTTAATGGATGCAGTTGGGAAATTAGTTGCTGCCAAGATTTGTGTGGATAGAGAATGAGGAATTCAAACGCTCCTTGTTCAAATGCTTGAACTGACTCTTGCTTGTCAAAAACAAACTCTCGTCCCGCACCATTTTGGGGGGCCAAAATCTCCAGTAATTCCCTACCCGGCTGCCAAAGCCACCACCTTTTCCCTGGCAACTTCTGCAATGAACTCTCCCGTTGGCATAGAGTGTCCACACCCGAAGTGCAACAATGATGTGCTTTTCGTCTAGGCCTGCCTGTGATTTCAGGAGACAGGTTTTGTTCCTCCATTCTGAAACTTCGTAATACAGGTTGAACCTCTGTGGTCCAGCATGATTTTAGTTAGCCAGGTATCCACCTATCATGGATGTGACCAAGTTTCCCACGGTGTCAAAGTTTGTTTACAGCCACTAGCCTTGGCTCTCAGAGATCTATGATGTTGTTTAGCTCTAATTTACCCTGAATGTCTTCAAGAGCCCAGTAAGCAGTGGAAGTGTTGACAGTGCTGCTAGACAACACCGACCTACCGTGGTCCGACAAATTCAGCAGGTGCTGAAGGTGTTGGACAAGAGAGGTTCAACCTGCATGCTTAGTGGGAACCAAGAGTTTTGTACTCCATAGTAACATTGGCTCTAAGCTGAAATATATTAAGTTTTATATATGAAATCTGTCCTGAAAAAAAGGGAAGGAAGGCAGAAGGGCTGAAATAAAATTAAATGTTCTTCTACTCCTAAAAGGCATGCAAATGTGGAACATTTAATTCCACACTTTAAAGTAATGCTGCCTGTTATGTTGGTGTTTGAATGCATTCTGCCTTGAGTCTTTTAAAAAAGGAAAAGAAATCTTGCAAAGGTAGCTGCTGATGGCTTTTTTTCCCTCTGCTTTTACTTTGGGTAAATTTAATGTGACATCACTGTTGCAGGCAGTCCGATAAAGCCCAGACTCAGAGGGATACAAACACCAATGTGTTCCTTTAAATATTCTCAGGGTTGTTTATGCTCATTTAAAGTAAATGCTAGGTTTGTAGATAATCAAGCTTTCGTACAACTTCTACTATGTTGATTTTTATGATTGCCACCTTTAGCTGAAACATTTCAAATTACATACGGGTATGTGGGCCACTTCTTTCCCAAGAGACTGTTTTAAAAGCATTGTTTATTCACTTTTGCCCTTCCAATTTTAAACTTGCTTAGATTAAACCAGTCATCCCATGTCAGTTTTGGAAAGCTAAAGATGCAGTATCTCTCTGTTAGAATGACCATGCTAATACGTTGCCATTGCACTGAGTTTGGGCTCCTTGCACAATGATCCTCTTCTGTTCATGCTTGCCAATTGAAATAAGCATTTGTCTTCTCCTACAACCATATTTTCAGCCCATGGAAATTATGCAGTCATCTTGAATATAATGGGGACTTTATATTGCATGGGTGGGGCTTTTTTTTTTTTAATTTGTTCTTACTTGTGGATTTCTCACCAAGCCCAAAGGAACAGAACCAGATGTGAAGGAGGCGTTGTATTTGGTTTTTGGATCTATGGAGAATTGCATTTTTTGGAGTGAATACCATAAATTGTTTTGAGTAGCTCTCCCAGAAGTTTAGCAGGCCAAATCTCTGTCATATTCCACTTTGCAGTCGGGATGTAAAATCCCGTTTGATTAACTGGTTAAACATGTTGTTTAGCCAGTTAACCAATGAAAGCGGGGAACAGGGGAACCACTCAAGCCTGGCTGGAGTGCTCACATCCACCCCTGGGCTGAAGTGCCACCTTCACACCCCCCGCTCTGCAACAGGCAGGGGCTGTATGCTGGGCTGTTGCCCACAGGGACTGCTCGAGTGTCCTGGTCGGAGCAGCCCCTGTCCTCAGTGTGCCCCCCCCACAC